GCCTTGGCCATTGACATGTCTTTTGGCACACTCTTTGACTGATTCCCATTAACTTGCATTCTATTTTATCCAGTATTCCTTGCAGAGATATATCAGCTGAGATCCTGAAAAGTATTTATGTGCATGACTCTTAAGGCTGAATTCAGTTGAGTTTGGCCAAGCTGCACAAGCTGGTGAGATTGAAATGGTTTTTGTTCAGGTATGGAGCTCAGAAAGACAAAGACAAGCCTGTTGTCTCTGATCTGCAGGCACTTTTTTTAGTCTTTTATTTTCAGCATGTGGGCAGTCCTGTGCCTTTTCTAAATTTCTCTATCATAGGTCCAGCTTGCTATTCAGGACATCAGCTGAACACATATCAGAACCCTGAAAGGTGAGAAATAAAGTAGCAGTCCCCTGCGTAACTACTCTGTCTTGAAAAGTAAATCTAAGCACAAGCACTGTTTTATGTTTGATAATGTGTTATTAGCAGAACTCCTCCTGCCTACAGTTCACGCCAACAACTCTGGCACAAAGTGCTACTACTAGTGATGTTCATACTCTCTGATTGCAAACACTACTGTAGCTTTAAAGATGCAGGCCAGCACACTAACCTGTTGCTAATGCAATGGACTTGAAATCAAGTTTTAAAATAGAAAAAAATCAGTATCTGTGCATTAAGGGTCAAACCTAAGTAAGTTTTCCAAAGAGCCATCTGGTCTTCTGCCATATCTTCTGGTTCACCCACAGACTGGTTTCCCTTCACCTTGGTTGACATCTCTCTGCTTAGGTAATGCCATGACTCTCTGCCAGGTTATCTCATATTAAAAAAATCCTTATTACTGGACTAAAAGGTCTCTCTTGATCTTACAGGAAAGACGTATTTCAACATGGCTACAGGTTTGTTATTTCTTTTTTTCATCAGTGCTATGTTGCCGTGGTGTATTTATCATGACATCAAGGTGTATTTTTCAGGACATCAAATACATGATAGTATTTGATGTCCTGAAAAACAGGACCTAGAATATAAGATCTAATATAATAGAATATAAAAACAAAGTGCTGATGTCCCAGCTCTCATTTTCAGGTGGTTACACAAGAATCTCAGCCTTCACTAAAGAAACGCATTTCAAGGCTCAGCATTGTTGAGAAGTAATTGGAAACACTGTTTGAACACTTGAAAATTACTGAAAGTGAAAAATACTGGAAGGGCTTATATACTCTGCAAATTGAGAAATCAGAATATCTTTAAAAACAGAGGTAATTCTTTTTATTTTTTAACAGAAGTCCCATGGTTTTTAAGTTACTCTTGAGATTCAGGAACAAGAGTAGTCCTTCTCTTTGACTGTCTGTTTTCCCTAATTACGCTGTTCTGTTATTCAAACCTGTCCTCACATTGAGTGGATTCAATGGAGGATGTGGGTTTGTCTTAGCACCTGCCTTTGCTGAGTTTCAAGTTAAAGGAGACCCACCAAGGGAGTCTGGTGCCTGTTGGTGTTTCTCTTCCACAGCCAAGCCACCTTACTCCACCTTTTATATTTCCATTTAGAAAAGCTCAAAAGGTTCTATCTGTTTCTTGAAGTTTGCCGTGTTTCCCTTTGTGAATGCAAAGATTTTCCTGCCCTAGTTAATCTAAAACATATTGCTGACAAGTGTGCCATCTGCAGCCCTTGTAGAATGGCTAGGGCAATGCTCAGTATTTACAAGGGAATGTTTTTCTCTCAGATATTTGAATTCAATCCATACTGTTATTTATTAAATAGATGAAACTTTATTTCCTGATGTCTTATTTATTAAAGACTAAGGATTTATTTAAAATGTTAGGCTTTGTGTTTTTGCTCTCAGGTTAGGGATGACTTTTACTCCATATAGTACAAGTGCAGGTGTGGTGCTTCTGTGCCTTGGAGCACAGGAGAATGAAGAAGTGCAGTGAGCTCCCTGCACTTAGCATCTGTGCTGGGCTGTACTTGGTCTGACTGGGCACAACTCTTCATTTGACTGCAATGGCATCTGATTTGTGCCAGCAGGAGTGAAAAGTGGCTCAGGTTTGGTGTCCTAAGGTGTCCTAAGCAGGTTGAAAGGCTCGCTTTCCCAGAATGGCTTTAGGAAAGTTAAAGCAAACTTGATGAGGTTTTGAAGCAGGCAAACTTTTGTGAGACAGCCTTGTCATCACCTCACATTGTGCTAAGGAATTTGGGCTGGAATCTTAACAGCTTTGGAGCAGTGTTTTCCCATACAGAAGAGTTAAGTCAACATTAAAACTGGATACTGCAACTTAGATAAAAACTTATATAAGGGCTCAGTTTAGTTCCTAGTTTTGCTAACTAGTTGTCTTAGGACTTCATGGGAACCACTCTTTCTCTGCCTCTGTTCTGGTTTTGGGTTTTTTCTGGTCCATATCCCATTTCTGTCTTCCCCCAAGATACATTCCATTTCCCACCCACACCTTTCCTCATCTGAGAATTACTTAACTTTCTGAAGAGGAGTCCTGTGAAATGTATCCTACACAGATGCACTGCTAGGGTGGAGCTGGGAATAGAGCATGGGTAGAAACAAGGGACTGTGGGGAGATAGAATATAAGAAAATAAAGATATGATATATTTAAAAAAGTGCAGAAAGTAATCTCACCCCTAAGGAGTTGCAGCTGGGCTAATTACTAAAGATTAGGAACAGGCCTGACTTCAACAGGCCACAGCTGTAACCAATGAGAAGAAGAGTGTTATAAAAGAGTGGGTTGGCTAGGTGAGAGGGCAACTGGAGTTGCTTGTCTACTGTAAGGAAGAGTCAGTGCTCAGAAGAGCTGCCAGCGAAACCACACCAAGAAGGAATAAAACTTATTTGATAAGGAGACAACAATATGAAACTTTTGCAATAATATGACAACAATTGGTGACCCTGACATGATGCAGGGGAAAAAGGACTAAACACTAAACTATATGACCCCATGGATTTGGGAAAAATAGTAAATTATATGACCTGTGGATTTGGGAAAAAGGACTCAAATACTAAACTATATGATCCCATGAATTTAGGAAAAGGGACCTAAGTACTAAATAATATTACCCTGTGGTGATTTGGAAAAAGGACTTAAGTGTCAACCAATGTAATCCTGTGGTATTCAAGAAAAAAGACTTAAATATTAAGCAATGTGATCCCATGGCTAGGTGAGAGATAGAGCTGCAAGAGGAAAAGCAACAAAACTGAAAGAAGGATGGGACAATTTACTAAAGTAGTGTAAGAACTTGAAAAAGAAAAGTTCTATTATTCAGGACAATAAGTTTATTGATTAGTGGAACATATTAATTGCAGCTATTATTGTTTGTTAAGCATGAGCATAAAAGATTTTTAAAATAAGTACTTTGTAAACTGGAAAGCTGCAAAACTGAACCAACACTTAAAAATGTACATGTTCTTACTGTAATATGTTGTTTGCACATTTGTATAACTATTAGCTCTAAATGAAATATATGAATGTGTCATAATGTTAATATACTTGAACATGTCTTTCTAGAAATGCTGGTACTCTATAATTAAAAGAAAAAGGGGGAATTGTGGGGGAATAGAATGCAAGAAAATAAAGATAGGTGTGAGATTACTTTCTGCACTAAGGAGATGCAGCTGGGCCAATTACTAAAGATTAGGAACAGGCCACAGCTGTAACCAATGACAAGAGTGTTATAACCAATGAGAAGAAGAGTGCTATAAAAGAGTGGGTTGGCTAGGTGAGAGGGTAACTGGAGTCACTTGGCTACTGTGAGGAAGAGTCTGTGCTCGGAAGAGTTGCCAGTGAAACCACACCAAAAAGGTATGAAACTTGTGATAAAGAGACAACAATATGGAACTTTTGCGATAATATGACAACAAGGGACTGGGCCAGGGATGAAGGAGAACAGAGGCATGAGCCAGCAGTGTGCCTATGTGACCAAAAAGACCAGTGGCGTCCTGGTCTGTATAAAAAAATACTGTTTCAAGCAGTACTAAGGAAGTGACTGTCCCTCAGTACTCTATACCGGTGAAGTTGCACTTCAGATTCAGTGTCCAGCTCTGGGCCCCTCATGAGCAGAAATATGATGAGATCCTGGAGTCAGTCCAGAGAAGGGCAATGGAGCTGGTGATGGGTCTGGAGTACAAGTCCTATGAGGAGCAGCTGAGAGAATTGGAGATCTTCAACCTGGGAGAAGGGGAGGCACAAGGGAGACCTTATCACTCTCTACAATTACATGAAAGGAGAGCGTAGCAAGGTGAGGTCATGCTCCTCTTCCACACAACCAGAGACAAGGACAAGAGGAAGTGCCCTTGAGCTGTGCCAGGGGAGGTTTAGGCTGGTTATCAGCAAGACTCTTTCACTAAAAGGGTAATTAGACATTGGAGTGGGCTGTCCAGCGAGGTGATGGAGGCATCCTCCCTGGGCATGTTCACAAAACAACTGGGCATGGCACTTAGTGCTATGGTGTTGGTCTCGATGATCTTGGAAGTCTTTTCCAACCTTAATGATTCTATGACATAGGACAACATGACACTGGAGCTCCAGGACAAGAGACCAGAACTGCTCTTTTCTGTGGCTCTGTAAATTTAAACCAGCTTAAGATGATATTTTACTGTCCCATTAGAGGCCTTCATAAGCCTATGGTGTGCAAACAGAATGAAGAGCAGCCTAAGTAGTCAAGACAAAGTTGTGTGGGAGATGGGCTTCCATCTAGAGCAAGTATTATCGGGGATGATCCTCCTATGCCTAATTTTAGTGACAGCCTTTTCCACTGATTCCCTGGCATGAGTGCCTTCTCTTCTGGTGCTCTACTGTTCAGAGTTATTTGACTTCCTTTGCCTGTCGACTAGAGTCAGTGATGAAGCTTCTCCAGCTTCCCTAAGCTTATCAAAGCTGTCACCTAAATATCTCAGTAACTGGCTCTCACAGAATTCCCTAATAACCTTTATGGTTTCTCAGAGTGATGGAGGGTTTGTGTGCAAACTAAGGCACTGGTGAAAGCAAAATCAATAAAGAACAAGGCTACAACAAAGCAAATCCTAGCATTGCTTTATTGGACAAAAGGGTGTTCTTCTAAACATGCTAAAAATGCTTGGAATATGGAAACTCACTGGCAGACACCACTGTTTACTATGAAGCTTTGCAGCCTAAATTTGGCACGTGGAGTCATCATGGCCCTTGAGCCAGCAACACCAAAGCCACTGCTAAGTTCACCATTGAATTCATCCACTAAGAAACTGAACCCTGAATTCTGTGTTGTTCAAGAGTGAAAATCCTACCTCAGATCTTTCTGAAACAGATCAATATTCTTTGCTGTTGGACTGCAGATGCACAAGTGCTGTGCAGTTTTGAAACATGGTCAGTTTATACTTTGTAGGCAATAGGATCTGCAAACTGGAGGAACTAAGGTCACCTAAGTCACTAACTTTGTCTATTTTAAGCCAAGATTGTATTACCAAGGGAAGAGGTATGTTGTACAGGCATTCACAGTGGAAACCAAATCCACCTCAAATTCAGACTCCTGAAGAATGTCATATCTGTATTTACTGAGCGTGAATGGCGTGACCTACTGAGTTTGGCCAGACCAGGCTTCTTGGTTAGTTTTGTCATCAGAGATTAAGACAATATAAAAGAGACTCTCAGTAGAGCTGTGTTAGTCTTCTGTTTTTATTGATGGATCTACTCTCTTTTTTATCAGATACTGATGTCTTCTGGTTGTAAATACCTGGAATTCTCCTGTGTGGGCAGACCTTTGTTGCAGTGGAGTTATGCTGAGGACTGTAACAGGTAGTGCCAGATGCAGCCATCAGACACCTCCCAATGACATTTTCTGCACACTTCCAGCTGGGGTCTCTGGATTGGTTCCAAGTACAAAATAGAAGACAGGAAAGTCTAGTGCATGTTGGCAAGCATATAGTATGTTTCCACCTCATTTGGAGGGGCTATGGTGCTGGGAAGCCATTTCTATAGAGCTGCTATGTGAAAGGAAGTTGTATGTGTTGAGAATGGCTACATGTATATATAAGAAAGGTAACTGCATATGCCATAGATTTGTGTATCATAAAAAGGTATGTCATAAGCAAATTTAATTGTGGGATACAACTGTCAGTGCAGCTTGAAAGAATCCTCTGAATTCCCTGTTGCAAGCATGTGGGTTGGCAATTTATGTATTAGCTCCAGAGGGAAAGAATTATGTCTTCAGCAGACAGCTGATGAGTCTTGGTACATTTTTGTGAGCCTAATTGATTTTCTCCTGTAATCACTAATTTTATCCCACCCTGTTTGTCCCCAACATTTCCAGGTGGAGTACACTCAATATTTTTAAACATTTTGAAATGGGCAGTCATAGTCTGTCATCCTGCAGACAATAAATTTCCACTGACGATCCCTGCATGAAAGAGAGACAAGAGAGGTGTTAGTGAGCCAGAACTGCAAAAGATGCTATACAATTAAGAGTAACTTTATACCAGGCAAGAAAAACATCTGTCTGCGATTAACTGACTTTCGTCTGAGTGCTCTGTCTTTTCAAGAGCCAAAAGAACATTAAATATGTGTGATAGTTACAATTCCCTTACACTCCTTTACAAGATAAGAAAATCAGCTCTCTGAATAAGTAGGTCTCTGAAGACAATGAATCCTGATGGTGATCAGTCCTGAATTGACTTATAATCAGTGACCAAGAGGAAAAGGATAATTCTGTCAAAAGTTATTGTCATGTCATATATTGTTCAGTAATGTGTAAAAAGTACTTGGGTGATTGTAAGCTATGTCTAAGAGGGGAGTTATCCAAACAGCAAATATTGATTTCTCATCCTTGATCAAATCACATTTGAAGAAAAATAACATTTATGAATGTAAGGAGAGTTTATGCTCTTCTCAGTTTGTGATTGGTATTCTCTCTCAAGAGAGCAATAGGAAACCTAATTGTTAGTAGGAAGCCTGACTGCAGCAGTGGGATTAAACAGTGGAGGCCAGTGATTTAGTGTCCAATAGCTACAACAGGCTACAAATTTATATTTCTCTGTAGCATATTGTGCATTAAATTTTCCTTTGACCAATAGGCATGAGATCAGAGGATCAAATACTGTCCTGCTGTGAAGAGAATGTTGAATTTAGGCTGCTTGATACTGGCTAACTTGAATTTAAATCCAAACTACAGTTCTTGCAGATGGCAGTTGTCATTTATATTGGTAATGGCTAGTCCTCCGAGAGGTTTCTAAAAGCATGAATTCTGCTAAAAGTGATGTCCTAAAGCTGAGGCATAGGATGGGTAATGCTGGTAATGGGTGATTTAATAGGAGTTTGCATTTAAAGACCCCTGCTTTAAACTGGTGCCAGACTGTTGCCTCTTGGGAATGTGCTGAGAACCCTGCGCGCAGATTTTGGTATTAACTGTGCTTAAATGGTGTCATTGACTGGGTGGCTCTGTCCTAGAACAAGACTAATTTGACCCTTAAGCCCTGTAGTTATACATTTTGTACCTACCCTATAGGTATAAAATATCTCATTGTAGCTTTCATTAACTGAGGTTTTTTAATTGGAAATTTACTGTGCTGTTAAGCTACGAGTTTATCCTGAGTGTCATTTGGAACTGGGTCTGTGTTTTGCTCATCAGCAAGTATGATGTAACAGTTACGTATTTTGGCTTTCTTTAGATCTTTCCTAGATGTTTTAAATTGTAATTTCCTTGTAAAACTGTTACCAAAGGTTAACGAAATGCAAAATTCATTTTTAGGTTTATTTTAAGAATCCCTTATTTGGGCTATGTGCATGATTTTCAGAGACAGTTATTACTCTTTTGGTCGCAAAGTTACCAAGAGATATAAAAAATAAAGAGGATTTCTTTGTGGAAAGGAGGATTATATCCATCTGCTAAGATAGCACCCATTGTCAGAGAAACTTTTAGCTCAAAATCTTAGATCAAGTAGGTTTTCTAAAATAGGACATTGTGAAATGAAAAGTCAGGCTCTTTAAAAGAAATGTATTTTAGTCACCTGAATTATAAACATGCTTTAAAAAACTGGGACAGAATTATTTCTGAAGCTGTCATTTCAGCTTGGACTTGCAGACACTAGCATATATGTACATGCTTGACGCATTTATGGAATATTTTTTTTTTTTCCCCTGTTACTTTTGTTTGAACTCAAGCATACATGCCTAGTTCTCAGGATGCAGGGCAGTTACTTTGTACTATTGCTATTGTGTGCTTAATTCAGTAGTTATCAGCCTGTTTCAATTTGCAGATCTCTTACAAGTTTACTAGTGGGGATGCAGATGCCTTGTGAGGCGTACACTAGAATATATCTGAACTTGCCTTTGCAGATCTTAACACCAGTTTGTAGGTGTCATCCCCTCCCAGTTGCTAAATTAATGCATTTTCCTTGGCTTTGGGAATAAATATTGAACTGTCATTTTTGCTTTCCAGCTGTCATGTCCTGTCAGATTTGAATTTTTGATGTATGGAGAAATTTATCTCCAAATATTGTTGAATAATCTGTTTCCAGTTCAGTTAAAAAAAATCTATGAATTCCTATTCATATTGAGTTTGACAAAATCCTCTTTCATCAGTCATATGAAACATATTAGGGATCTTAAATACCCTATAATTTAGCACAGCTGAGCTTGGTGAACTCAAGCATACATGCCTAGCTTCTCAGGATGCAGGCAGTTACTTTGTACTATTGCTATTGTGTGCTTAATTCAGTAGTTATCAGCCTGTTTCAATTTGCAGATCTCTTACAAGTTTACTAGTGGGGATGCAGATGCCATCAGGAATTGCCTTGTGAGGCGTACACGAGAGGGAGACTGAACTTGCCTTTGCAGATCTTAACACCAGTTTGTAGGTGTCATCCCCTCCCAGTTGCTAAATTAATGCATTTTCCTTGGCTTTGGGAATAAATATTGAACTGTCATTTTTGCTTTCCAGCTGTCATGTCCTGTCAGATTTGAATTTTTGATGTATGGAGAAATTTATCTCCAAATATTGTTGAATAATCTGTTTCCAGTTCAGTTAAAAAAAATCTATGAATTCCTATTCATATTGAGTTTGACAAAATCCTCTTTCATCAGTCATATGAAACATATTAGGGATCTTAAATACCCTATAATTTAGCACAGCTGAGCTTGGTGGATGTCCAGCTTGTCTAGGCATTTCAAACATACTTTACTGTTGGGGTATCTGGCTGTTGATTTATTTTTCAGTGATGATGTGGGAGCAGTTAAAAAGTAACTGGCTATCCAGACGACCCAAACAATTGGAGCAGAGAAGAGTAAAAGAAAGGAGCTTATGACAGTCTGCATGTGCTATTTTTATACAACATATCAAAGGACAAGCTGTGGCTCTTACCGAGAACACCTAGTAATTCCCACCTGCCTGTCCAAGGTACTTGCTGCAGGTTGGGTTGTGAGTGTTCCAGTGGTGCTCTCTGGACTCAGGAGCGTGTCCCAACAAGATCACAGCTACCTAACAATGCTCCACCAGAAAGTCATACCATCATCACTTGGCACGTTTCAGAGCTCACGCTGAAGGTATTATGTTGTTTGGTTTGTGGGTTTAATTTTGGAAGCTCTTTTGCCAAGGGTTTGCAATGTGCATGTGTATGTGGGCAGTTTCAGTCGTTTATAGCCTGCTTCAGATAGCCCATGTCCTTCTCTGAAATTTGACTGTATCAGTCTGTCTGACACAGATACTGCCCTTCCCTGCAAATGTTCCCTTATTTATGTCCTTAGGTCATCCTGTCTGCATCAGTGTTATCACCACACTCCTGAATGGGCTCCTGGAGATACTTCAGGCCTTTTCTAATTCTTTCCAGCTGCTTTTGTCTTGCTTTATAGACAGTTGTTTTCTCCTTTTGACCTATTTAAAATAAGACTGGAAAATATAAATAGTAACCAGTTCTGAAGTCTGTTCTTCCCAAAAAAGCAGTTTGATGATCAACAATAACTGTTTCATTCATTTATTACACAGGCATGGAAACTCACTGACAGTGATTACAGAAGTGTTGGTGGGGATAGCATCATTCTAAATTTTCTCTGTCCTTTGCCACAAGCATCACACGCTGTCTCAAATATCCTTGTATCAACAGTGGCCTCACTGATGCAATGTCATAGGGAGTAGGAAGGGAAAATATGATCTCTGCAAGTTTATTGAAGAAGTCTAAAAATACCTACCTGTTTGAAGTGACTGGGAAGGTTTTAACTGAAATACCTTTGAGGCTTTTTCTTGCCTCTTGTTAGCTCAAGAACATTGTCCATATGAACTAAATAATAAGGACACAAGTTTAATGTGCTTGAAAATGAAGAGGAATTAAAAAGTGTTCACAAAAACAAGTGGAAATGTTCATGTTCCAGTCAGGCTGAGACTCAGAAGACCTTTTTCTGCACCTATTCTTCCTCACGAACGGCAAAAAATCATTAAAGATGACAAATTTGCTGACTTTTGTGATTCATCCTGCTCAGGAGGAGTGTTACAGCCTGAATCTGAATTTGGACCTAGCAAGATTTTTTTTTTCCACTTCATTCTCTTGGCAACACAATTTGTTTCTGGTTGTTCTGAAAGCTGAGAACCAGCTTCATTGGTGCAGAAAACTTTTCTACTTTGCAATTTATGAAATATTTTCTCTGTAGTTTCAACCTGCTATTGCAGGTGTATGACTGCCACCAGAGCAGAGATAGGACAAAGGTGTGCTGGTGACTTCTTCCTCTTCCAGGCACTGTGGTCCTGTGGGGACCTGTACTCCCAATGTACATTCCCATGACACTGCCTTTGCTCCTGACCAGTCACCCCACTGCAACCCTATTCTGAAGGCTGCCCTCAGCAGCCAGAGACAGCAATCTGCTCAGAGGCATAGGCTACCCTGGCTGCTTTGTTTTCCAGGCCTGTCCTTGTGATTCCAGACTTTACCCTGGTCCACATATGATAGAGTCTGGAATCCAGCTGCAGGGGAATGCACTGTCTGCATTATTTCCCCTACTCTCTGCTGCAACCATGAGGAACAAGGATTAAGGGTAGCACTGGGAAATATTTAAGATGAAAAGCCCAGAACGGGGCTGTCCCTTATGACCTTGTGATTTCTTTATCTAAAGCAATAAATAGATACCCTTGAGTCAAGTATCTATGAAATATGTTATTCTACTTGTAGGAAGAATTTGGAGACACAACTTCCATTTGGTAATAAACAGGATAATGTATTTTAGCCCGGAAATTATAGTTATAGACCTGCAGTGGTCTTACAATGTGCTGTCATTCTGGAAAAGCCTCCTTGTTTTAGTTGTGGGCTCCCTATGGTGAACTTTGGCAAGCTGAGAGCATTACAGTGACAAAAGCACTTTGGCTGCTTTGTGTGCTATTAGAGACAGCTTGAAATATTGATGTCTTTAAACTCCCACTTCTCTCTTCTCTTCCCCTTCTCATGTAGCCCATCTTGGCAGAGCAGTGCAGCACACCTTGCCTTGCTGTCTGTATTTTGCTTGATAACAAATGCTTTAATATACTGGACTGAGGTGCCTAGCAAAAGACATCAGCAAAGAAACAGCTCACAATTGATGTATTAGAGGGCAGCTTAAAAGAATCAGGATCCCTCTCCCACAATCAGGTTTCAGTGACTGCTTATACTCTTCTTAAACCTGCTCTGTTAGGATCTCTGTAGCCCTAGGCAGACAACAGTGTGGGATTTATGTTAAAGCCAAAGTCTAAAACTTTACAGTTGTGCATAGTAAAAAGGGAGAAACATTCCTTTTTAACTGAATGGAAAAATTGTGAATCCATTTGCATGACTACAACTTCACTAGACATAGGGCCTCTCCCAAGAGGACTAGCAAATGCCAAGAAATGACCAGGACTGATCAATAAAATGTAGTTAACTCATTTTCTGGAAAGGGATCAAGGTACACTGCCTGAATTCCTGGAGTGGCTTGAATCTGTAAATTGTGCTGAAATAGATTGGGCAGTTTAAAGCATTCACATCACAGTTTGTACGGTATAAACTTTGCATACTGGCAGATTCCCTGCTTCTCTGCAAAGAAAATTGGACCAAAATAGGTCCCTCATTCCCTGAAGGCACAGGGTGTTTTTACTGATGTCAATGAAATATGGTCCAAGTAGAGGTAGATGAGAAAGTATACAGAAGATCTGTTGCATTTGGTGAAGGTCAGATTCAGCCCAACCTACCACTGCTGTATTTTTCACTGCTCAGTTGGACATGACAAATTATCCCCATTAGCATGCTCTGCTCCTGGTGCACCATTCTGGACAATGAATCATAAGTACTGTGAACTTCAGTCCTCAGAATTCCTAGTGTGATACTGAGTACTACAGCAGAGGGTGTGTAGCCATGCACTGTTTGGGGGAAATAGAAAAGACAGGCATTTTAAAATTTTTAATGAAACAGGTGAAAAGCAAACCTGTGCACAGCAGAGAAAGTTGTGGTTGCCCCACGGATGTAATAGTCATAAGTGTACATCATCATGTCCATATCTTCGCCATAGTGTCCTGGATATTCTGTAGTTAACCTTTACATTAAAGAAAAAAGATAATATCATTTGCTGTCTTATAGAAGAGTCCAGTTGAATGATTACAACTCAATTAGTAGATTTCTCCTGCCTCTTTGAAAGTTCTTGTTTTTTCACAGCACTACAAGATACAGTCTCACAAGACTGCCTTTCTCCTCTATGCAACTAATTCAGGTAACTATTTGAATAAAATTCAGACCCTTAGAACAATTAAGAGCAAACTGCAATATTGGAATATATGTATATACATCTGCAGCTCTGGGATAAAACCCATCTGAACAAGAAGATAAAACTCATCTACTACTTATGTCTTTATTGCAGGGATTTGCTCCAGCAAATTTTCGTCTTGTGAATCTCTTTGGTTTGCAGCTGTAGACTGCAGTAAATGTTGCCAAATAAAAGGATTCTAAGCGTTTATCCATGTATTAATTTTATTAAGTGACTGTAACAATTAATCCATTGCTCTTTGTTCTTTCCTCTCTCTGCCTAATTTATAATGTAAAAATATGGGCCTGGACAGTATTTGTGTGGTGTATTTGATCAGAGGACCGCAAAGTGTTTCTTCAATTATTAACTAAATTATGATTGCTGCTTCCCTGGGAAATACTCACGTAATACTGTAATTCATTTTACAGATAATTAGCAGATTCAGGAAGGGCTGGAAGCTGGACCAGTACTTTCTGTCAACATTGTATTTGAAGTCTGAATGGAAGCCTGGCACTCTTTGTATTACACCATTTTACATGGGTGTTCCTACTGGAGTTGTCAGCCTCACAATGAAACAGCCAAGAGAAACCTCAGGTCCCCCATGAGGGAGATGCTGAACCTGTGGAAATAAACAGCCCAGCTTCTATTTAGACTAACAGAGTTAAGACACATTTACAGAAACCTTGGCAACCTTTTCCTGACTTAATCCAGCCCAGCAGTAGTACTTGAATGATGCTCGAAGGTGATTGAAGCACATTCCAGCCAGTACTCATGCATGTTTACATTTTGTTAAATCAGTGGAGTCTAAGCACAGGCTTAAATATTTTACTCACTAGGAATATAATTTTTGGGATGGGTTTGAGTTTTTATGAGGTGCTTTCGGTGTATTTGGAGCCCAAACCTATAACTGTTGGAGAACTCAGAAGCGGAAAGTTTACCTGAAAACTGTGGTACTCTGGGCCATTAGGTTGCTTTCCAGGTCATACTGAGCTTTTGAAAGATCATTCAGTTAGAACATCATTCCTATCAAATCATTTTTCCTTGACAAATGAAAAATGTGTCTGCATATGAAACTCAACCATGACCTTATAAGAGCCTCAAGGCTAATCAGTCAACTTCTTTGAAAATATCTTGTTCTCATGCTTCCTTTCCTTTGGCCATGGAAATCATCACACAGATTCTGACTTACAATACCAGGACACCCATCCCAAAGTGTGTTTAGAAAGCAGAAAGTCAGGCCTGGTCACAGTGTCTATTATCTGAGTTCTGACCAAGGACACATGGATATGCAAAGTCCTTGAGGTGCTCTGCCATTGGTAAGAAATAACAGCAGTATTTCACAGGTCATCCAGACAGATGCTGCAAACTAGGAGAAAGAGAAGAAACCATGAACACTGCCCACTCAGCCAGAAGAAAGTGCCCATATTTAGTTTAAATATTTAGTTTACTAATTTGAAGCCTGAATGTCTGATGGTGCATCTTCAGGGTCATAGAAGGTTTTAAAAATGAAGACCAGCTATGGACCAGCATTTAATTTTGCATTCTCCCATCAACGCCATGTTTTGACACTTTTTGTTTAGCTATTATTATGACAAACCACTAAGAAATGTGTTTCTATATGTTCTACCAAATATGTCTCAGAACATCTGTTTGGCACTTAACAAGGAAATTGTTCTGTAATCTTGACCAGCAGTGTGTGCTGGGCAGATGAGACTGTGCACCACACAAGGTTAAAAAGCTGCTTTTTCCTCTACTCAGAAACAGAACAGAGTCAGTTCTTTGAACTTCTTTCATGGGCCTCTCAGTTGAAAAATAAATCTGATGACAAACTTCTGAATTGCTGTGGTCTCACAGACCTTTTGCAGAGGCATGCAGTGTAATTCTGAAGTGCAGTGGGAGTCTTTAGTTTCTCTTTTCAGACTGCTGCCATCTTCCCCTCCCTCTCATTCTCCACATTACCATGCAGCCTCTTAAGGCTCCTCCACTAAGAAATGTTCAAAAAGCAAATCTATGCAATCACCAAAAAGAAATTATTTGGGAACTTGAGCTGCTCTGAAATGTGTCTTGTTTCATAGGCAGATGCCTAGTGACTCCTTTTGTTCTGGAGAGAAGAATTGCTGCAGTGTTCAAGTTCACAAGTCTGTGTGGTCTGTCTAATTCATTTCTCTTTGATTATTGCTGTACTCATTTCTGAAACTGTTCCCCTAAGCCCCTGCATTTCAAGGTTGTCTGGCTTGCACTGTGTCCTTTAGAATGAAATGGAATTGATCATCCATGTAGCAGGAGTGTGTGGTATGTCTCATTCCTTTTCTATTATCTCCATTTTTGGAATCCCGAGGGTAATTAACGCAAAATGTGTCTGCAGTTAGAGATGCCCTTGTGTTTAATGTATAGGGATAGTCAGTATGTGGTTTTCTCATCATGAAGGGGAGAATGAGGGTCTTCCCAAAGTGGTCTGCCTGGCACAGGACAGTGTTCCCTCAGGTTTTGTTGTAGCTTGGTCTGTACTCTTATTATCAAATATGTAACTGAAAATGTTAAATGTTTTAGTTACTAATGAATGAATACAAAGTGCATATCAACTTGTGAATCACCTACTATGACCCTACAGACACATAATTTATTTACAAACATGATAGCATTTGTGAGCCATGTGTGGCAAAGTATGGTTTGTACCCGAGTGGAGTCACAAAATGAGTGTGAGACACTTTTTGCCTTAGTTAGTGAGGATTTGCCTGCCCATGGGCTTTTCAGGTGGGAATAGCCATCCACAGTAACCTTCACAGCGCTCTGTAAGCACTTCTGGCATTGAACTCATGGCAAACAGGATTGGGCTAGGGGGAGCAGTGAGAAGCCTGGGAATTGCCAAGTGCCCAAAGTTGCTGCTGCTGTTTGGAGTGTTGTATGACCAAGCCAGGGTGCCTGTGGTGCCTGAGGGAATAGGTGACAGGAGGCCCTAGGAAAGAGGCTGGCAAAGCAGCTGTGAGAAGATGTGTGTTATAGCAATTCTGGGTTCTAGGCACTGAGTAATTTGTAACACTGAGGGGGAGGGGCCAGCAGGGTACATTTAGTGGAATTATTTGTTAAACCCAGATACACACAGGTGTTAAGTTTGTGGAAGGACTTGTAGGGCAGAAAAGAGTAATGTGAGATGATGGTAGACTTTTCAGTCTGTATGATCTGTTTGCAAGAAAATACAGAAAACAGGAATGCTGGTTCAGCTTTTCAAATCTACTTCTGTATAATACTGGGTGTCTGATGTCTGGGAGACTTGAAGCACCAGTGGCATTGTCGAGAGAGAAGAAGGTAATTCTGTATTCAGGACTGGGAAGGGAAATCTTGTGATAAGGGGTGTAAGTAGTTTGGCCTGTGTGTGAGCTGGAAAAGTTGACAGAAAAAGGTATTTTCATAATGGCATTTTTAGCTAGAATGGGGTTGATGTGGAATGGTTTATCTTTTCAGTGGTTACATTGCTCCAACCATCCACACATTTTTCTAATGTATTTCACTATAATCCTATAAATTTTGCTCAGGGTAGCATATGTACTCATAAAAGGCATTAAATCTTTCTCAGGGTTACTGTTGTTTTTATTTTAATCTGAAAACAGCTGTGTTGTTTATTTTCCATTGTGAAGAATTTCTATGGTAGAGATTAATAGAAAACACAGAGTTACTCATTTAGCACTGAGAAGAATGTTTTGTACTAATCTACAGTGATCTGTAGCACTCTTTTAACAATTGACCTCAGAAATAGTTATCATGAGTCCATTATTTACCAATAAGATGATCAAGTCACACCAGTGGCCTTAATATGTACAGCCTGCTGATTAGAGAAATAAATTAGAACTGTGGGTATGCCTTGCTTTCAGATGCCAAGCAGACAAAAGAAATTAGTCTTTTCAAATATGAGAAATAGTCAGTGGTAGAACAGTTTCTGGCTCCAGTTGTGGAATATATTTATTCCCTGATCATAAGTACATGGTTTTGGAATATCTTACGCTATTCACTTCTTGTGCAACTATAGTGCTGACAAGATGAATGGCTTCTCTTTAACCTTCATTTCCCTCTTTGTGGTTGAACTCTTTCTCTAACAATACCACAGCCAAAAGAAAGAGCTGTTTCATTTTAAGAGGAAGACATAAGCTTTAACATTAACTTTCTGACATTTGAGGACAAGGAATGTCTTTTGACACTCCTTACTTTATACACTTACCTTCAGATGTTGTTTACAAGTGCTTCAAGAGTATGTCTTTCCTAAAGGAGAAATTTTGTTCAAGAGCCACAAGCCTGCAAGTTACATTCAAAGAACATGGGAATTATATGACTCTTTAATCAATTTCAACTCTTCCTCCAGCTGGAAGACAGAGGTCATCTGCTTTAAAAAATGCATCCTATGTTGAAAAGCCAAAGAAGGTCTTAGTAAGCTGTCTACAGAAATTCCAGCAACTGCTCTGAGTATAGATCCTAGACTGCCAATCTGCCAGAGAACTAGAGGTGTCCTGGAGCTCCTCTAGAGATGAGATGCTCTCTTGTGTGGCCATGTCATGTGTTTTGGGATTGAGCTCAGGCTCCAGGCTCTGAGCCCATAGATTCACACAGACACATCACTGCTGCTGTGTTCCCACTGTGTTGCACTGAAAACCACAAGCCCTTCCAGGGCTGAGGAGCCACAAGGCTCGAGGCTGGCACAATGGGAGCAGAGTTCTTCCAGGCCTGCATGAGCTTGTGCATTGCAGGTACATGCAGCAGCAGAGAGCTCAAGGCAACTTGTGCCTGATCCTCAAGAAAGATAT